TCAATTGCAAATACTTAAACTAATAACAAAACATACTTACAGTAGCTGATTCAGAAGGGCCAGATTGTCATAGCAGTCAGAATGACCTCCTCTACTAGGTTCACCAAACGGTCGTCCATAAAATGCATTGCTGTTCTGTTGTAAGTAATTACAAGATTCCTTAAAGATTCCTAAATGCATCTACTTTCGGAAGGCCAAATAAAGTGCTTTTGCTTTCGCCTAGAAACACACAGCGTCTCCCTGACATGGCTGCTTGAACACTAACTGCGGTTACTGAAACCACGCCTTCTTTCTTTGCGTGCACATTTGGGCGGCATTATGCTAATATTTCCACATAGTGAGGTAGATATGTGGGGGCGTGTTAGAACGAGCCGTTTTAGGGGGGCGTGGCAGTCTTAACTTTGATAAAGAATATCTCTTTGGTTTTGAGACTTTAGTCTTTGCAACTTAAGGGATCTTATCTATGCACAATCAGCTTGTAACACTCCAAAGAGAAAGGAAAACTTGAAATCGCGTCATATGACCCCTTTAAAGAAAGTGGCCTAGTCATCAACTCAAGTCTGTTTTAGATGTGACAGCCAATAAAAGCTGAATTACACACAGGTAAAACATATTAGTTCTTCATCCTGATGTGAGAGGGACCAGGTTAAGACCATGTGGGGTTTTAAAACCTAATCATTTTTAGCCTAATATCAATAAAATACCTGCCTGATTACGTGGCAGGGGAAATGTCAAATTGCATTTTAAATTAAGAGACCTTATGAGTAGATCTCTGAGAAAAGGTCAGTCAAGGCACTCAGAGACACAGGCCTACGTGCTATTTTACAGTACTTAGTGAGCACATTCCATTCCAATTATATTCAGTCTTTTATAAACACAGCTTTCTATTTTCATTTTCGCACCATTCAGACAAATGGAGTTAAATCAATGACGTGGATTAAAATACTGTCCCCATTCAGCGGTGCTCAGAATCAATCACGTTATGAACAAATGATGGTTTTGGCTGACAAACGAACTGACAACCAATGTCCATTTTGTCTCCTTGAGTACTCAACGGATAAAAAGATGAATGTCTTTGGTTGTTGCATCACATCTTGCTGTCTCACGCCATGAGCATCACATTTTTAAGACATTGTGTGAAGCTAGAAAAGATGCTCTAATAAAATAATTTTCAAGACATCTTGTTTTTAATATGGCTCTGGACTTAAAGTCACTGCTAAGAGATTCCTTTCATACGTTTGGTGTTCCACAGAGTCATACAGGTTTGCAATGAGGTTGCATTAGGGCATGTGAATGAAGACAACAAACACTGAATGACACACCAAAACAGATAATAAAAAAGAGGCAAGTACCTGGGATCTTACCGAGCAGGGAACCGGAATCTTTACCCAGGGCAGCAACCACAGAGGGGTCCAGAGCAGGCGGCTGCCCATCTCCAGCAGGAAGCTCTGGCCTAGTGTAGTCCCTGCTCTTATCGTTATTGTATTTTACATTCAGGTTGACAAGTTTTGAGTAGTCTATGCGAAGGGTACAACAGGCGTTGTATATGTTCTGACCATCTAGAGCCTAGAACAAAAGAGAAAAAGATAGAAAAAAGAACAAGGCGAGAGAGACAGAAAGAATGTGTCATCTTCGTAGGGCCTTTCACATGAACTTCCGCTGAGAGCAAACCCACCACTTTAGCTTGCTGTGCACTGGTTGGATCGTTGTACTGCAACAGGGCCTGAAACTGATTGTTCTTGGTGAATGTGATGATTTTCATGACGGTGCCAAACTTTGAGAAGATCTATTGACAGAGAAAGCAGAGCATTGAGGGGAGCTATCAACAGAGGGGAAAAGACGTTACAAAAAAAAACAGAATTAACACACACAGCATCAACAGCACCTCAATTTGTCACCAATATAAACTGTCAATAAGAGGCTGATCCAAACTGTGGCGTCCCCTACCTGCTGCAGCACGTCCAGGGTGACGGGGTAAAACATGTTATCAATGATTATCCTCAGCACTGGACTGGAGGGCGTACCACCACCATCGATAGAGTTGGACCCTGATGTGAGAGTCCCGCCTGACTGGAGATCAGTTACAAGCACTATGTTAAACATATATAATGGGAAAAGTTTGGTCCTCATAGCAGCTCATTCTAGCCAAGAAACGCTCATTTAGACGGGAAGAAACCATCTGAATTACATGTAAAGCAACCAACAACATTTTCTCACTAATTAATCAAAGAATCCTTAAATTTATTAAAGATGTTTTCAACATTGAAAATAATAAGAAATGTTTCTTGAGCACCAAATCATCATATTAGAATGATTTCTGAAGGACCATTACTGAAGACTGAAGTAATGACAAATTCAGCTTTGCAATCACAGGAATAAACGGCATTTTTTTTTTTTATATATTAAAATAGAAAATTTGTAATAATATTTCACATAATTACTGTTGTTGCTGCATTTCTTATCAAATAAATGCAGTCTTGGTGAGCATAACATTCTTTGAAAAACATTTTTAAAATCTTACAGACCGTAAACTTTTGAACAGTAGTGTAAATTTAAAAGGCCATGCTAGAGGAAAAGTTTCCATGCACTCAATAAATAGAGAAAAAAAAAATGTGTCTTGACTGTTCTGCCCAAAGCACAATCTCACTGGTCCAAAAACTGGTCAGCATAGTTGGATTTTAAGTTCTGTTTGGCTGTCCCTTAAAGTATTTAAATTTTCTGAAAAAGTCAGGTAATTTGTTACCTGGTTTGAATTGTCGGTCTTGAGTTCTTTGTGATTGGAGTACTGTATGTAGACCGGCACACTACGGACGTGAGGCGTCACAGCTGAGTAATAATTGACCATTGTCATGGCAGCTTCCTCTGTGCTGAGCTCCAGAAACGCCTAAGACAAAAATTATTTCAGTGATGAGGTAAGATGAACTCAGTGAACTCAAAACTGTTAGTCGAACTAGAAATAGCAAATTTCTTTTAACACTCACTAACTCTGGCAAAAGTGAAATTGAAAAAATTTCAGCTTGCCCACGCACCTGGTTTTTGCCTTTCAGTGTGAGGATATTGGTGACCTTTCCGAACGGAAGCCCCAGGGCAATGATCTCTGTTTCCGAGACATCGTTGGGTAACTTTCTAATGTGAAGAACACGGGATGGTGGGGCATCGCCGACTCGGTCTTCAACTCGAAGTTTTTTGCTGTCACTGCCGTTGGATGTCGTATCTGCCAAAAGTGGACAGAAAGAGGACATTATATACAGGGAATAAAGACATTTCTAGAGGAAAATTGCTAAATCATAAGGACAAAATATGCTGATTTAATTACTCAGGTAGGACTGCAAGTGTGTCTTAACTGTACTTTAAGTTTCTCTTCTATTACATTTCACACTATATTTCCAATCAAGACCTTTAATAGATAGAACCCAAGAAACAAAAGCTTCTCTTAATCGGGTCAAGTCTTTCCTCTACTGAATGGGATATTGAAATCTATTGTTGGAGAAGCTGTAATAAGATGCAGAGCACACATAATCGCAATTCCGGTCACATGCTTTTAAGCGTGGGTGCCCACCTACATGAGAGCGTAAGGTTATTCCCAGATAGGATCTTCTCAGATCAGATATCACACTGAAACATCTGTTATAATTTGATTATTTTAATGCTCTTCACGGTCGAGAAAACTGAATATTTTTGAATGGGGGGGAAGTCAGGGACACTTACCACTTATACTGCTCAGCCCAGAACTGGGGCTGTTATACATGCTGACGGACAGCAGCTCATCTGATCCTCTCTGCGGAGACACACAAAGAGAAAAATAAAATCCCACCCTCCAATAAAGATGTTCTCCTTTCACAATCCCCTCAACCAAACAATGAAATACAGCTCTCTGTGGACAGCTTCAAGAATCAAGGCACATAAAACACACGTCCACATGCTGCTGCCTTTCTGCCTTATTTTTCTAGATTGTTGCTTTAATCTTGTTGAGTCTAAGATGTCAGACGCTGTCATCTCATCCTGAGCTGCCCACGTTCCCGAAGGGCCCCGGCGCGATCAGGCCACCGCTTGAAGTGCAGCTAAAAGTGACGGATGGGACGGCAGGCAAATGGCGAACCGGTGCAAACCAAACTTCCTAATAGGATCATCTCAGGTTTGTGCCTTCCAAAAACTCCACCGAATTGTTCTTTATGGACGCTGCTTTTACGGCGCCAATAAACCCGCCGCCGCTGCTGCCTTCTGGGCATCGACACTACAAACAATCAAGGGAATGGTGAAGTTTCACATCGAAACGACCGAAAGCAGAAGAATGCATTAAGAGATGGCAAGGTCTTAACAGACAAGCCTCAGCATCAAAACTGATTAGAACAGAAGAAGAAGAAAAAAAGCAGGACTTTAAAGCAATAAGATCAAATGCTTCTTTTTCCACCTGCTTTCCCAGAAAGACCAGCTAACATTGTTTTCCGGGGAGGAAAATTCTGTTGTTGGCAAACAAACCGAGTTAAATGGCCTGTGTTCAGAAGGCATCTCTGGAAAAGAACAAGTTCTTCTCTAACTATCTTGGACATAAACTGCCCCCATTCAATTACTACCAGCCTAATTTTATGAAAAGCGGAGATGGAGACCTGTAACAGGCCTGTATCTAATATATAAGGGACAATTCTACATTTCCACACAACACTTTTCTTTCAACGACAAAGAATCCAATAATGCACTTAAATGGCTTGGCAATTCTTTGTCCATTCAAAAACAAATTACGTTTGCATCACCCTAGGCTTCTTTGTCTTTTTTCGTGTGGCTTTGACGCCACGCAATACGCAAATACATTTAAAAAAAGAGGGGAAATAAATGCTAAACCCTGTGAAGACAAATTATGTTCCTGAAAGCAATACTAAAAAAAAGCATATATTGTATTTTTGAATGAGGTGACAGTAAAATTGGCGAAGACATATTCTACCCTATAACTTATAAGTCCGACAGGACAGCAACAATTAAAGACAAAACTGGATAAATCATATGACTAACATATAAACAATGTCTGACTCCGGCTAAGCTCATCCCTCTGACTTTCAGTGACCAAAATTCATAAAGGTCAGTATTAATCTACCACCAAAAAATGTTTGCAAAGGAATGGTGAATATTGCTTGTAGATTTCATTCTGGCTGTTAATGGCAACTATGCAAAGTTTGCCAATGTTTGGACGAACCAAGAATTAGAAAGCGCGCGATAGCAGTGTAGATCTGAGATAACCATAATTACTGTTCAATTTTAATTCCAATCAGACATTGCCATTGAAACAAGGCAATTTTAAGCAAATATGGCAAGAAATGCACATAAGTGTGAAAGCTAAAACTTCACTTGCATTTATCATACATGTCGTCATATTTTGGAAACATTTGCAAGGTTAATGACTCATGGGTTTAATCAGACTGGCTTAAAATTGCATGTTAATGTGACAAATTTAGGGTGGAAATACTATTGCATAATATTCAAATATTAAAAAAGAATAATCATCATCAATATTATATTGCCATAATGCAATATTAAGCGTGGCTGGGTTTCATACAACATGAATGGAAATAAAAAAATATTTTAAATATTAAAATGTGCAAATATTTAAAGTATTACTATTAAGATAAAAATATTAGTAACTATATTCTTGTTCAATATTTATGTACAAAGACTTAAACATTCCAAGTTCAACGTGAATATACTGCTTCTACAGGTGCATCTGCATTAAGCTTAATAGCAAATCTGACACTTTAAAGAGCAATTATTTGTATAGCAATTAATCACATGCCAATTTTGTAATCGAGAGAGCCTGAGTAATTATTTAAAAAATTTTTTAAAAAACTAGTTTACCATGTAACAGCGGTAGAGGAAACTAACCACACTGCTCTGGTATCTATGGGGTCAAATTTCTGTTGTGGTTTCCACTTGTTCTCACCACTGCAACAGGCAGCCATCTATTAAAAACTAAATTCCAATCATATTCATAGTTATGCATGATGTACTGTGCTGCCTTTGTTAGGTTGCTATTGCACTGCAAAATCCTCCATGAGATTATTTAGGAACCACCTATCCATCCATCCATCATCCAGACTACATACTACACAAAGGATACTGAAAACAGTGTTTACCTTTACACCAACTGCGACGTCACCAATGCTGTTGAAAACACAATGTGAGATTTGATCAGACAGATACTAAACACCAGGAATTTACATGCAAAAAAGGGAGGGCTAGAAATCCTTTAATCTGAATCTTTTCAAATCCCCTCCATTATTCAATGACACAACAAATTAAGCTGATGAACATTTCAGTATTTCATCATCACTTTATCCCACTCTTCCTCTAGCAGGCCAGAAATGCACCTATAAATGCTGTCTAGGTAGGCTGTTCACTAGGCTTCAGGACTATAAAGTTTATAAAGGATATTTTGATATCTAGCAAAATTAATTTTGAGGCTAAAAATACTGTATGCAGGTCACTAGGTTATGAGACTTAAATGCTCAAAAATGAAAACTAGTTAGGCAGATCACTAGGTTATGGCATTATGATGTCCAAAAATGCAATGTAGGTCGCCAGGTTACTAGGTTTGGGGACTATAATGTCCAGAATGCTGTCTAGGTAACAACCAGTTCACTAGGTTTTGACACACAGCCCTAGAGTACAGACTGGGGCTAGTTGGTTAACCATAACTTGTATTAACCATCAACATTTAGACGTTTTTCAGCTTTAAATGCAACTCGACACATTTTATAACCACTGAGAGAGGTTTTATTTAATACATTTTCTGATGGTATAAAAGCTAACGTGAGGCTAACAAAAGAAACATGTAATTGCAACCTAAATGTGGTCCACTTGGGAATTAAATCCAATTCTAGCACATTAATATATTAATTACAAATCAAACTAGTTAAAAGACTAGCTTAATTAAACAACTGTTCAATTTTGCGTGCACAACGTGAGCAAACAAACGACTAGTGGCTAGTGAGGCTAACCTGCTAACGCATGCTTGCTGTTTTTGGACAAATTTTTGTTATGTTTACTAATTTGAGTCATTGTGCTTTTATATCTTGGCATTTCATACAAGACAATACAATACAACCGTTACAATAAGCTTATGAAACAACGGTTGTTCAAGTGTTACAGCGCTAGCGTGTTAGCAGCATTAGCATTCCAGTAAGTGTGAATAAACTCTTCTAATTCACGTTCAAATGATTGTTTTATATACATATAAATAAAGAGCGCCTTTAATGCTCACCCGTCCATTTCTGGTGATCTGTGTAAAAAATAAACCCGCTGAAGACTTAGTGTGTGTGTGTGTTATTTCACCTCACTGGCTTTAGCAGAAACACACACACACATACCACTGACAAAATGGAGGCGGAACACTGAGACACGAAGAAACACACGTACACACACCTACTGTGAACACACAATACATATGAGATACACACTTACTGTAAACTCAAACACCATTTACTGTAAGCCCGTAATATATAAAATAATACAGGTAATAGTCTATATTAAGCACACACATACACACCAACTTTAAATAGATCATCTTTTATTATAAGCAGTAGATAAAATAATAAATGTAACAGATCCTAGAAGAAAGTTTTATTGCTCAGAGCTTGGTCTTTTTTTAAATCTCAGGAGACTTAATGAAGATCGCAGCATTTGTTAGCCTTTTACTCATATGGAGTTCCTCTTAAATTCCTTCCTAGATAAAATGCACACAAAGGAGACAATTGTTTCATTATGTTGTCATATTCAGCTATACAATTTAATTTGATTTCATACGGAAACTGAACATTTGTGAAACTATTAAGATCTCATCTGAAACTCTAGAAGAGACATGTGAGATTAATAAGGTCCTCTCAGAAAATACACCTCTGAATCTTGAGATTTGTAAAAAAAAATAATAATAATTTTAAAAAATTGTGTTTAATTCCATTTGCTGTGGAGGAGACAATAACTGATTATATATATATATATATGACAGAGAACAAAGCCGTGAATTATAAACCAATATAATGTATTAAATAGGCTACATAACATGTGAGACAGTTTTATAATCCACCTTCATGTAAAACTAATTTTTGTCAATACTTATTATTTAGTTTGAGTTATCATTGTTGTTGTCATTAAATAATACTAGGAACCAAAATGTAGAGTGAATCACCTATCATAATTAAAGTGATTATGCATAATGCTATTAACATTCAACAAGCCAGTCAAAACCGCTGTAGCAGGCGGTTAGATATCATTGACTGTGACAGACTTACATAATGGTATTTTGGCTCCGTGCTTGATGCCCCAGGTGAAATTAAAGTCTAACAGTTTATCTTAAAGAACCTGGGATTTAATTAAAAATGACATTTCCCCAAACACTTGGGTCTAGTTTTGATTCTGAGGCTGCCATGTTGGAATTAGATTCCAGGATCCCTCTGAGCAAAGGGGAAATAAGAAAACTGTCAGCTGATCACCAAATCTCAAACGTTTATCATTCGGTTCTTGGCACACAACAGCCAGACGGTTCTTGACACCAAGTCCCAGCTGCCATAAAACAAGTAACATTCCTTTTAGCAGAATCAAGCATATGAGAAATGATTCCCAACACATTGATAGGTGTCTTCAAGATTAAAAATGTAGGTAAAAATCAATGTATACGTAAGAGTATGTGCAGGGTAAGTTTAGTTGCTGTAACCATTTTAATTTTTTTTTTTTTTTTTTTACTTAAATAGCCATGCATTGGACAAATTAATTTTAAATGCAAATATTCTATATATTTGCTCAAATATATTTAAGTAACAAAAACTGCATGCATTATAGTTAAAATTATAAAATAATAAAAAAATTAATTTAATTTAGAAAAGGCAAAATTGAAAATTATTTTAGATATTGAACAATTTTAGACAGATATGTCATACTTTACAGATTTATTATTTTTAACTTTAGCTGGAATAAAATAAAATCTAAACATTAGATGAAAAAATTAGAAATATTGTCTTGTTACCTAACTAAAATCAGTTTAGTTACAATTACTAACTGGAAATTAAATAATAATAATAATGAAACAAAAATAAATTCAACCTAAATGGTAATATTTCAAAAACAAATAAAAAATTACATAACAAAATTAAATTTAAATAAAATTAAATATTAAAACAAAAACTTTATCCAAAATATTAATAAAAATCAAATAGTATATAAATAATACAAAAATAACACTGCACTATACACAATAAAAAAGACTAAATTTGTGTTAAAAATCATTTTATATGGTGTATAACCCACTTTATACAGTACAATTTATTTTACAGTGTGCCTGAGGCATAACAGAGGTTTTTCAATGCAGATGTCCCACTATCATGTTTTATCAGGCATTATGTCATTCTTCTGATATCATCGTGGAACTGATGTAGTCAGGAGTGATGTCACTGCAATTTGACCCCAGTGTTGTGAAATGTGCTGCAGTCACTCTGAACCGACAGCCTTGGGTCAAGTTTATACGTTAACTGTCTTGTATCCAGTACATCCTTTTAGTTACCTAACACTGATGAGATCTTACCAAGATGTGCAATTTAACTCTATAATTTACTAAATACATCGTAAGATGCTCAGAAAGCAATGGTTAAATCACAGCGATTCACTAAAGAATTATAATGTACATTTTGTACAAACAGGCTGTGGGTGTATTGAACTCGTATGACAACCTGTAGAAAATAATAAGTGACAGGTTCATAGCTTCATGGATTTAATTTAACATTTTCGACCATTCTTCACGTGACTCGGACCATTCTACGTTAATGGCAGCCTGATGCCTGCCATTTTCTTTAATTACCAAAGCAGCACTACTTCTGCAATATTAAAACCTTGCATTGATTTCCATTTTTCTACATACGTGTTCTTGAATCTCACCTGCTTCCAGCACGCAGGCCTGCCATCTCGGTCCAGCTGTACCAAATCAATGTCTTGAAGGCTGCAAAACCCGCTAAAATTCCAATTTAGTACTGTATTGAAAATCTTGCAGCTGTCTTTTGGAAAGGCCAAACACATCCCCATGGCTCTGTTTGTGTGTTCGATCAAATTGTGTTTCTCATAGTGCATTCTGATGAAAATGGTTTGGAGTGCATTATGAACCAGGCACAAAATGGAACGCCATGCAGTGACTACCATTACATAGTATGGGTATTTTCCACCAGAATCTGACAGAGTTTTTTTTTCCTTTTCCTGAGAGTGTATGTGTTAGTGAAATGTACAATGTTTCATGTTTTTAATACATGTGTACTCAAAGAGATATGATATTCATAGACTATACATTCACACCACAGCCACATCAATGTGGCTCAAATATGATTTTTTTTTTTGGATGACAGCAAAAACAAATTCCAATCTGGGCCACTATCATATGTGCAAACAAATTAGTGACTGAATGGCAAGGTGTTAGACCTTATTAATATATGGACCACCTTATTGTTAATATATTTACTTAAAATAATTTAGTATAATAAAAATGAATTGATTTAATAAATAATATCATTCATATAATAAATTCTAGACAGATAGATGGATGGATGGAACCAATAGAACGATAAGTAGAATGATGAATAGATGGATGGATGGATGGATGGATGGATGGACGGAACAAATAGAACGATGGATGGATGGATAGAACAGAATGATAGATGGATGGAACAGAATGATAGATGGATGGAACAGAATGATAGATGGATGGAACAGAATGATAGATGGATGGAACAGAATGATAGATGGATGGAACAGAATGATAGATGGATGGAACAGAATGATAGATGGATGGAACAGAATGATAGATGGATGGAACAGAATGATAGATGGATGGATGGATGGAACAAATATAACAAAAAGTAGAATAATTGATATATAGATGGATAGAATGATAGAACAATGGATGGATGGAACAAATAGAACAATATAATAGAATGATGGATGGATGGATGGAACAGAATGATAGATGGATGGAACAGAATGATAGATGGATGGATGGATGGAACAGAATGATAGATGGATTGATGGAACAGAATGGTAGATGGATGGATGGATGGAACAAATAGATAGATAGATGGATGGATGGATGGATGGTTGGATGGAACAAACAGAACGATGGATGGATGGAACAAATATAACAAAAAGTAGAATAATTGATATATAGATGGATAGAATGATAGAACAATGGATGGATGGATGGAACAAATAGAACAATATAATAGAATGATGGATGGAACAGATAGATAGATAGATAGATAGATAGATAGATGGATGGATGGATGGATATTCAGACTAGTGCCTGATATGGACCATTTTTAAAAGGTCACATGAATGACCCAACAAAAAAAAAAAATCCAGATTTGAGCACAGAATCAGACTAGAGCACTTCTGATTTGCTGTGAACACAGCCATGGAAATATGTGTGACAAAACACAACATGTTTTGATCGAAGACTTTCAGAAGCATTTAATTATTGACTGTTGAATCAGTTTAGTCAGAAAGACCTGGCAGCCTTGCTGTTTGCTGAATTTAATCACGCCAGTTTTCAAGCTGTGTGGGAGATGCGCAGCACGGCTAACATGGGCTATTAGGCAACATGCATGTTGATATCCACATAAACAGAAAATATAGCAACCTAGATGACCCAAATTATAATCAGTATAAGTCCAAAAATATGCACGCTTTTATCATAATGTTGAGTGTGGCTGTGTAATATTGATGATATGACCTTACTTATCTTCCTGTTTAAGCCAAGATGTTGCTTTGTAATAAAAGCAGCCAACTGCATGTTTTCACATAAATTAAGGAAATGGAAATATTGAATACAGGAAAATAAACAGCATTAATGAGTCTACACAACATATTTCTGAACTATTCCATTATTTAAACAGTGACACAAGCTTATCAGAGCGAATTTAGCATCCGCTGAAGAGTAATAAACAGCCAGGCGTGATCACAAGGTCATATGTGATCAAATAGTCATGTGCAAGTGTTGCAAATGAGACTATTGTGTTGGTTTGAAGGACAAGCTCACAGTTTTCACCTCACTGATAAAGTCATCTGTGTGGAACACTGAAAGTTTTAATTAAAGGGATAGTTCACCCCCAAAAAATTCTGAAAATTCTGTCATTAATTACTCACCCTCATGTCGTTCCAAACCCGTGAGACAGAATTTTCATTTTTGGGTGAACTATCCCTTTAAGACATGGACATGTTTATTTATTGTTATTATTTGAAGATCGAAAATTGTGCGATAGAAAATATTATGTTGCCAGAATGAGCACCAAGGCTCCATATGTCAGATTTAAGGTCTAAATTGGACACAAATCAAAGTGACATTAACACTAATGCGAATACTGTTATGT